TTCTCAGATTACATGCTACTAGAGAAGCTTTTTATAATCATCCAGCCAATGTCAGCTTCCCCGACATCCCAATTTTACACTTAGGGCTCACTGTCCTTTTAATTAGGATTATAATCAAATAACAAACTCACTATGTAACGTCATGTCATTTCCCTTTCTTTGGTGTAAGCTCCATGAGAGCAGCAACTATCTGCTACTTAGCCCACTCCAATACCCTAATACAGGGCTTTGTATATGGTTGAAACTTGGTACATCTCTACTGAAATAATTAATTATGTGGAAGTCTCTTTTTTGCCATACTTCTCCAGACTTTTCTAGAATGTTACAGATCAACAGGTGATTTTATATGTTCAAAAAAATAAGAATTTACATTTCTTGGAATTCACAACTGACACATGACTTAAACCTATAACTCAAAGAATCGTGTTGCTACTTCAATAGAAGTTAAGAAATAAAGTTCCATTGTGCTATTTGTCAGTGCCTGTCATCAAAATGCTTGGCTTTTTGGTTTCCAAATGAGTCATTATTCACTTATCAACGGTGATAAATGGTGCCTTCATAAGAAAGCATATTACAGTTTGAAATCACCTTCATGGCCATCAAAATGTATGTTCTTAGGCAACCATCAAAAGCAGCTGACTAACAAATGAATATTCCTTGTGCTCTGGATTTGTAAGGAAAGGTTAAATGTACATTTCTTGTTTTTTAAAAATTTTCTATACCTCAGATTTGACTAGTAACTTCCAGATGAGGCGCCCCATGACAGCAGAGTGTGAGTGAGAGGGATAGAAAGGTGTTTAAATAGAGTGAGACAGCAGATGATGTAATGATCTGAGCACATGAAAGCAGGTCAAATCGAAACTTATTTCTGCCAGCCTGGCATGGCCACCGGAACCCCTTACATGGGCTTTTAGTTGTCCCTGTTGTGTCAACCTTAAATAAAATGCAAGGTGCCTATTTTACCTAGCTACACTTCTTTCTCGAGCCACTTACAACTCTGAATAATGTCTAAAATGCAAGTACTTAGAAGCAATCAATTTAAAACAACACATTCGGGCTGCTAATCTTCTGCTGTTAGAATCTGTGATTTGTAAAGGAATGGCGAGCATACGAATGGCTTGCGATGCTGTGCCTAAGAGATGCTTTATTTCAGTTCTCAATGCTCCATTATTGCCTTAAAATCAAAGAGAGCCTGATGGATGCTCCACAAAACAACACCAGGAATTATAGTTAATGCCTCTGCCATTGTCCTAAAATAAATTCAGCCAAGTATTCACTGACTAAGTGATAGTCCTGGCTTGAGAAAGAAAGGAGAAATACCACCGCTGAGTTCTCAGAAGCGATATCCCTTCTCCAGGTAACTCTTCCCTGAAGTTTTGATTTAAGACTGAGGATTTCCAAAATTTGACTCACAAAGCTCAGTGTCCCATGCCCCCACACTGATGTCATCCATTTCTAATATTAGCAGCAGAGCAGCTCAGGTTCACCTGGGAAAGAGGAGCTTTTATTTTGAGTTAAACAGGAACAGATACTAAAAATGAACACGCTGAGGCTTCCTTCTGGTCTATCTGACACGGATAAAATAGTTAACCCCATGCACTGAAACTAGTATTTTCAATCAAATGAGAAAGGAATTCAATTGAGCTGGAAATTTGATGTGCATTTTTATGCAGACTCAATTGTGCAAATGCTGAGGAATTAAGAAATAAAATGAAAACCTATAAAGCTATTTGTTGTGCAGTGTCACACCAAGATCATCAAGTGTTCACAAAAACTCCATATGGGTAAGATAATGAAGGTTCCCGGGCATCTGTTATAGCCCAGCATGATGTGTAAACTTGGCCATTATGGCCACACAAACTTGGCCACACAAACAAGTTTTGGGATGATATATGTTGTACTCATTAGCTCAAATGCATCCAGTATGTGCATCCTATTGTCCAGCAGAGCTTAAGTAGATCAGCATAGCTGGACAATTGCCACATCTCCAGTTAGTACTGCACAGACCTAAACCCAGGCAGGAGGATGCAGATGCGCCATTTGGAATTGTGGAAATGGTGTTGGAATTCCATGCCATGAATTGGAGGGAGCTAATTCCTCCTACCCTGTCCATCTGCATCGTCATGTGTTGAGACTGCTTTATGAGATAAGAGTCTCACAAAGATACGCAGCCCTGGACAAACTCGGGGCAATGGACTAAGAGGTATGGCTTGTACACAGAAAATGCCTTTCATTTTAAAAACAACCACCTGAACATGGTAACCATTCCCTCTAGAGCAGTGGTTCTCAACCTTCTGGCCCTTTAAATACAGTTCCTCATGTTGTGACCCACCCATAAAATTATTTTCGTTGTTACTTCATAACTGTAATGTTGCTACTGTTATGAATCATAATGTAAATATCTGATATGCAGGATGGTCTTAGGCGACCTCTGTGAAAGGGTCGTTCGACCGCCAAAGGGGTCGCGACCCACAGGTTGAGAACCGCTGCTCTAGAGGGTGAAGATATTTTTAAAAGAGTTAAAGGGTTAAAGGAAATAAAAACATCGTGGCTCAGTGCAGAACCTATCACCACTCACCTGAACTTTTCTTACGGTGCAAAATCTGCTAAGACTTTCATTCCAGAAAAGCTGGCCTGGGAGTTTAAGCAGCCGTGGCAAAAAATGGGCCACGTTTAGTACTTGCTACTTTGCAGTTTGTTTTTGCTGACGATTCTCAACTTTCTCAATTTGGTCCTCCAAACCCATAGCAGAGTGATCATTATCTTCCTAAGTCACTGTCATAGGGCAGGTCTCCCCACCTTCGGTGCCCAGTGACATAACCTTGCCCTATTTGAGTTTGTGATAAAAATGTCGTGCTCTGCATAATTTTCTGTACCACGTCCCTCCTTCCTGTTGTTCTCAGAATCATTGAATGATCTTAAAACAAAATAAAAATCCTTACCTAGATTCCCCCCCCCACATGACATGCACATAGGTATGCAAATACAAGCCTGAGATAGTAGTCTCCTTCCCGTGTACCCCCAAAGACCCTGGGCCTGCTTTCTCCCTATATCCCCATGACCTGGACATTACCTGGAATATGCCCACCTCTCCATAAATCTTTGCTGACTCATCAGTGTAAAATAAGTCTGCCTGGAAGACTCTTAACCACATTTATGTATATGCTTTTGTTGTTGTCTTTTTTTATTCTCCCCACTATATAGCTTTTGCTCTTAATTCCCATTCTTAAAATCAGTAGACTTTTAGACTAAAAGAAAGATCTTCTGGTTGCACAGCCTGTAGTTTTCTGAGAAACTACTAAAAGAATAATATTTTTTGATGTACAAGTGTAATTCAAAAATAAATAAAATAGATAAAATAACAATTTCTTATACAAATTATTTTCATGGAGAGGTCTGATTATTTTTCTCTTAGTACAGTAATTCAAAATATTTTTCACACCCCCCTTTATGCAAGAATTTCCTTCCAGGTGGACATATCCAGTTCGTACTGGAAAATTCAGCACTATGCCTGTGAAGGGTGAGCAGAGGCAGAAAGCACCAAAACTAATTGTGGCTTGCTGTTGTTTACTGTACAGCACTTTAGCAGACGTTGTCATGTTACAGGCCCATAACAGTGATGCTGGATGAATGACATAGTCTTAATATCCCATTCTGCTAATGAAGAACTTAACCCCGTAGGAAGGAAGTGACTTTTCCAAGATCACATAGCTAGATGGGGAAATGGAATAGAAACCAGGGTCTTTCAACTCTGCAATACAATGCACTTTGGACTCTGCTATCAAATTAAATGTGTTGCTTAGGTGATTTTATAAACAATAATAACAAGTAGAGGAAAGAAAGTGATGGAAAAACGAGAGCACAGAGTACTAACTCTGATCCAGGGAGGACCTGGAGGAGCTGAGCGGTGCTGCCGTTGGATAAGCTTGTGGGTGCTGTTTTGTTTGGGGTGGGGAGGGAACGTGTTCTCATAAGGGCATCTGATCAGAATATAAGGGATGTGGGTACTTGAATATCAGGGGCATCACTTTGTAAATTATATGATTGTCTAAACACTATGTTGTATACCTGAAACTGATAACAAAATAATACTGAATATAAACTGTAATTGGAAAATGAAATTTAAACAACAAAAAGGAATGCAATTTTCTGCCAAGTTTCAATTATTTAAGCTTCACCTCCTCACATTGGACCCCTACAAAATTCTATGAGGCATCCTCTCTCTGAGAATTTGGTTTCTGCTCTGACAGCAGTTAGATGATGGGTTCGGTCTGGGACTCCCTGGACACGTCTTCCAATAAAGACTAGAGTCCCTGCTTAGAGAGTGGAAATATATTTCCTTTCCATGGTACATTTTCAGGGTTGAAAAGCAAAGGTGTTAATGAAGGGGAAAAATAACAATTTAAAAAAGCACTGTCTTGCCTACTTGTACCAATTTTATGTAGCACTTTATAAAAAAATAATATAATTTAGTTTAAGTAGCCTGAAGGATTTTGTATTTGTTCTTTTAATAATCTCCATCCATTAGTGATAATACTCTGCTTTAGAGATTAGGTTGTCAGTGACTCAGCCAACAAATATATGTTAAGGGTCCACTGGCATCAGGCTCTACTGATGAATAACGAATAAATAATGAATGGCTGGTTGGTTAATGAATAAGATATAGATCTTGTCCTCAAGGAACTCAGATTTTAGAATGAGAGAGAAAGACAATTTGTAAGCAAATTAATAAAAACTATCATTCGGGGCTGAAAAGCTGTGTTTGCTGGGGACATTTGTTCTTGTGCTGAGCCTGGGCACCTTCTGAGCCCCTAGTGCCCAAATGGAGATGAACAAGAGGGTCTGGTCTCCCCAAGGCCACAGCCTGTGCCTGGGGCTCTGCCTCTACCACAACTCTAGTCAAGCACCTTGTCATCAAAGTGAGATAGAATCTTCATGGTTAAATGTACACAGTGCCCCTGAGGAAACAATGACCACATGTTGCTTTGTTTTTGTTCCAGGAATCTTGGAAAATCAGGACTCAGAGTTTCTTGCTTGGGTCTTGGTAAGTACTCACGGTATCATGTAGGGTGGGCTGGGAGTGGAATATTGGGGTAGATACTAGAAAGTGATTGGAGTACAAGTCAGGACCCCATCTAAGGTGAGAAGGGACTGTGTGACCAGCCTTGTCCCATTCCTCCTTCTGATCCTTTCCTGCCCAACACAGCCCTCTGTCTCTCAGACCCAAGAAGCCATGGTGTCCATGATGCCTTATGGGGGGCCCGTCCAACAGAAAGAAATCTGATACTAATGCTCACCTAGAAGAAGACTCAAGTGTTAATTCCAATTAGCAAATGGGAAGGACCTCATAGTGTTTATGTGCTCAACTTACCTGCAGCTTATCTGAACTTTTTCTATCCTTATTTTCTCTTTGCCTAATTTCTTCATGGATTTTTCTGTATTGTTATGTATTTTAGATTTTAGATACTTTTATAATCTATCTTAAATACTGTGAGGTCAAAGTGATATACATGTGAAAGCTCAGAGGAAGATTTCTTGATTCCTATTGAATGGAAGTGTGGAGACCAGGGAAGGGATGATAATGAATAAATAAAAGATAGTGGCAACTAATTCTGCCTCCTTTCACTGTATTTCAAAGATATTAAGGTGATTGAGGCCTAAGTTTTTCTGATTCTTCTGATGATCTGATTTGGAACCTAAGGGTGGACTTTGTTCACTATAAGTCTAAGGGAACTTGACATTTGCTTAATTTATAGCTCAGATCTTGTTACCTTTCACTTCTATTTGAAAGGAGACTCGCTATCAGGGATCATCTAACCTTAGTTTTATGAGAATGTGCTTAATGGTAAATAATTATTCACTATCCATTATTGAAAGAAACTCCCTATAAATACAAATTATGAAATATGGTAATTTAAGAAAATACAAATTAAGAACTATAGTAAAATATCATTGACCAATTATCTCATAGAGTCCGTTTCTAGGGCAGAAAATAATTTAGTCAAAAGTACATAGAAAATTCCACCAAAGGCCCTTAAGACTAAAAAATTGCAGGTGTCCATGAAGTGCTTCATGTAAATGAATGTCTAGAGGACAGAGAGCAGTGTTTTAAAACCCCATGTGTGTGAGTGTGTGTGTGGGGGGGGGGGGCGGGGAGGCGGTGAGCTTTGGAACAGATGATGCAGGAGCAGAAGTCCTGACTTGAGCTTCGAGCTTCTCTGAGAGTCTGAACACTTGTGATAAGACACTGCGTGAAAAACAGGAGGAAACGAGGAAATTCAGGGGCTGACTGGCTTCATTCAGAACAGGTTAACAAAGCTTGACAGCTTGAATAAGCATTCTTTAAGAACTGCTCTGAGCTACCTCTGTAAGCCAGAGGAGACAAAAAAATTCAGAGAAAGGAAGAATGCACCTGCCTTAGATAATTAGTCAGGCTCTGCAGACTCCAGCTGTCCAATCCAGGGGAAGCCGGGCTTACTGCTGTGGACTTGGGATGTCAGCAGAATCACAGCCCATGTTCAGCTGAGGCTTTGGAAATTAAGCATCATAGTTCCAAGTAATCACACAATTATATTGGAATACTCTAAAGGCCACAGTTTAAGCTTACAATTCTGACTTTCTTCTCTATCAGAGGACAGGAAGGGAACGTCTAGCTCTGATAAGCTTTCTTTCAATGAACTAGGAGCATGTGCAAATGAGAGCAGGCAGGTAAAGTAACTCGAGGATGAACTGAAAATACATCTGAAGGAACAAACTCTGCCAGTAAGAGAAATGGGTAAAAAGAATTAAATGGCCAAACCCACCTGTGGGTTGCTGTGGCTGGCCTGGTTTATAGATACACTGATGGGAAGGAGTAAATCCACCAAAGAGTGACTGAAAATAACCCCAATCTAGTGGGAGGTGGGATCATCTTCTCAGAGAGGAAGAATAGAATTATGTACTCATTCATTCATTCATTCATTCTGAGAAAACATGTAGGAAACCAGGCATTGTGCTGGTTAGGGGGGATACCAAGATGAAAGCAGCAAGGCCCCTGCTTCAGATTGCTCCCAGGGTAGTAGGATCAGGCATGCAAACACAGACAGTGCATCTGACAATGCTGTAGTGGAGAGTCTGGGATGAATCGAGAACAGGGAATTTAGGACAGCTGCTCAGGGAAGGTGCTACAGAGCTGAGACTTGAAGGGAGTTATCAAGCTGAGGAGGAGGTGGAAAAGGGGGCGAATAATTCAAGATAGAGGGAGCAATGCAAGCAAGTATCAGAGCAGGTGGTACCTGGGGAAACACTAGAATATTATGAGTGCACGGTGCTCAGGAACCTTAAGGCCTGGAAGGGAAGCTGGGCCTGATGGAGAGAGCCCTTGTTTGCCTTGCTAAGGCATTCAGCTCTTGTCTTTCAAGTTCCTCCAAGTCCTAGGGCCCCAAGGTCTTGGAGGAACAGAGACAGACAAGGCTTCTCCTCTCTCCACCCTCCTCCTTCCATTGCCACAGCCTCCATCAAAGTGGCTCCTTTTTAAAAATGTAAACTAACTTTTTTAAATGTAAATTTTTAATGTAATAAATTATAAATGACCATTTTTAGAGCAAAACTGAACAAAAAGTACCGAAAGTTCCCCTTCTCCCACATACACATAGCTTCCTCCTCTATCAACATCCCACACCAGAGTGGTTGGTACATTGGTTACCATTTTACATTGACACATCATTAGCACCTAAAGATTGTAGTTTACATTAGTTATATGTATAACTCTTGGTGTTGTACTATGGGTTTGGTAAATGTATAGTGATATGTCCACCATTATATTATCATACAAAATATTTCCTGCCCTAAAAACCCACTGTGCTCTGCCTATTCATCTCTCCCTTCCTCCTAAACTCTGGCAACCACTGATCCATTTACTGTCTTCATAGTTTTGCATTTCGCAGAATGTCTGGTAGTTGGAATCGTACAGTAGGTGGCCTTTACATATTGGCTTCTTTCACTTAGTAATATGCATTTAAGTTTCCTCCATATCCTTTCATGGCTTAATAGCTCATTTCTTTTTAGTGCTTCACTTTCCATTTTGAACTGAGGCTTTGAAAATTAAGCATCATAGTTCCAGGTAATCACACAATTTTGAAGGGGGGTGGGGAAGCATCCTTCTGCCAAACAAAAGTTTAAAACTCTGCTCTAGCCTGTGAAAAACCACTCCAAAACTTGGATCAGGAGTAGGATGTGATCAAATGTATCAGAATTGTTTTCTGGCAGCGATATAAAGGCTACATTAGAGGGGGAAGGGTTGAGACTGGAGACAAGGCAGACAATGAGGCAGTGATATTAAAGGTGGACCAGAGATGATTATTCAGGAGGAAGAATAAATAGAACCCGGTGACCTCAGGATGCAGAATGAGGAGTCTCCCTGAGCAGGGAAGGATGCTTGGGTTCCTGGATTGGGCATGTGGTGGATGAGCTGAAACCTCAGGAAGAAGGCCAGGAGGGGGCAGTGAGAGGAGGGAGGATTCAGTGAAGTGGGAGCTTTGCTGGGGAGTGGTGACCAGAGAGCCTGTGACCTGCCCCGGATATCCAGAGAGAGCTGGGAATAAAGACCTGGAAACTTCTAACAGTGATGAACTCAAGGATGTCCTTAAGGCCACCTGCATATTCAGAGGGTTGAGATATTTGCCCAGGTTTAGGACACCTGCCTGTGGAGTTTGCCACATGGCCTGCTCCCTGAGAGCAGAGACGGCCTCTGCATTTCCTACACTCCTATTGTACCTTTAGCAGATCACAGTACCTGGAAAGTAGTAGGTGCTCAAAAATATTTATTGAATGAATATCTGCATAGATGGATCAGTTGCTACAGAATGACAAAAAAAGTGCACTGTGTAATAGTGAAGATCCAGCAGTGGTCAGAAAACATGAACTGCTGAGGTCCAGCCAACCCAGTTCTTTGGTTTTCTTCAGCAGCACTTTAGTGCAGAAACAGAGAAGGCCACGTGAAGGGAGGTGGGGAGAGGAGATAGGGGTCAGCCCAGCAATGAGAATTTCCCCCAAAGTAGGTCATAGACCAAGGGACTATCATTCCATGGAGTCCAGGCTGGGTCAGCTCAGAGCCTTCTCAGCAGGGCTCTCACTCCTGTCATTACAAAGAGGCATCTGCCTATATTCTGAGTTGCTCCACATAGTCTCTCATGAAGAGAAGGAGGCCCATCTGATTCATTCCATGGGAGGTGACACACCACTGTGGGCAGCTACTCCTATAGGTGCTTGAAAGGGGCTGAATTTACCCTGCACCACTCACTCTCAGATGTGTGTGCTTCCCTCCAGATAAAATGCTCACAAGAAAAAGGTCATGTGATGATTAATTTTATGTATCAACTTGACTGGGCCATGGTGTGCCTGGATATTTGGTCAAATGTTATTCTAGGTGTGTCCTGAGGGTGTTTTGGGATGAGATTAATATTTGGGTGAGTGGATTGAGTAAAGTAGCCCTCCCCAGTGTGGGTGGGTGGTCCTCATTCAATCAGTGGAAGGCACGAATGCCTAGTACAAAAAGGGGGACCCTTCCTCCAAAAAGAGGGGACTCCTCCTGCATGACTCCTTTGAGCTGTAATGTCAGACTTGTCTGGCTTTTGGAATTGAACTGAAATATCCTCTCTTATCCGGCCTTGAGCCTACTTGCTTTTGTACTAGAATTTATACCATCAGCTCTGCATGGACTGAATCTACTACAGCTTACAGATGGCAGATTTTGGGACTTCTCAACCTTCATAACCATCTTAGCCAATTTCTTATAATAAATCTCTTTGTATATGTACATGCATATTTAAATATCATATATATTTATATAAATACATTTGTATGTTTTATAATATACTAGAGGCCCGGTGCACAAAGTTTATGCATGGGGGGGGAGGAGGTGGGGATCCCTCAGCCTGACCTGCACCCTCTCCAATCCGGGAGCCCTCAGGGAATGTCCTACTGACAGCTTAGGCCCTCTCCCCGTGGTTCTCTGCTCTCTGCGGGGCCTGCCTGCTCCACACCATGGCGACGGGCAAGCAGGCC